GTTCATCGTTTTTTGCGCTTTTTTCGTTGTTATGGCTTTATTCTAGAGTAGTTCTATCAATTTCCGTCAAAAAAGGGTACCCTAAATTTATTGCTAACGGTGCCTTTAAGCTGATCTGTACACTGTAAGGCGTGAACTTCGTGAAAATACTGGGATGGCATTTTCACTAGATTCGTTATCTTTATCGGAGTAAATGAGAGAGCACAGAAAATATTTCTTAGCTCTCCTTCATTTCTGCGAGAAAGTAGTAGCAGAAAGTAATGATGCAGGAAAATCTCTCACGTTTGAATCTTATCTGGCAAATCTTTCGTTGCCTGCAGTTTAGGGCTTCGCGATAATTTTTATAGTCTTCTGATGAGAATTCAAATCTCAATCTCTTCTCTGTACTGTGAGGCCTGTGATAATGCCGTGTTAGAGGGGTTAGACCGAAACAAAGAAAGCAATACAACAAACCCTATCCTCATGACACACACAGAACAATTGAAGCAACGAGGCCTTCAGAAAAAAAAAACAGCAATAGAACAATCGAAAAGGATGCAAATAAACCAAGAATGATGTGACGATTGGGATGAGGGTTGGCCCGATTCTAAAGTCGCCGAGGTGCGTCAGTCCCTTCTCTGCGAAATTCAGTAGCGTGATTCGCGAGCATCCAAGCTCTATGCTGACTTCGCGTCCGTCCATTCGAGTGTGAATGTTTGAAAAAGGGATGTATCCCTTTATATACCGCCCTTCCAATTGCAATCGCTCTTCCGCAATCTTGTTTGATCTTTTACACCGATTCTGCGCCTTTCCTACGAGCAACCACTTGCCCACGTCAACGATGCACCCAGTCCAGGTACAAAGTACATACTATATACGCAAAATACATAGGTGTTCGGTATCAGTGTAACGTGGTGCTGTTTTTGTGATAGGAACTACTTAATACATGTTTGAAACTCCTAAGTGTTCTTGTACACATTTATCGATGTAATTGCGTCTCGTTTACTGTTACACGAGCTCTCAAAACGAGTTAATACCCCGAAAAAGGGAAATCGATGGCTGTCGAGCAACCCTGTTCTAGATCCTTCTGTAACAAGCACGAGTAAGATGGCAAAAAGAAATTGGCCTGTTTATAAAGTCTAAAAATTCAGTGGGATCTAATGTGTTAATTTAGTGCGGCTTAAATTTTGCGATTACAGTTGATAGGTGCTACAACATGCTACCCCCATCTCCTATGCATAGAATCGTTTTCGCTGTACGTGGAGATGAGCGACTACGGGAAGTATCAGGTTGGAAGATAAGTCACGCAACACTTTGAACATGTTCCTCCAAGAAAAACTGAAGTCTTCTCCAAATGCCTATTTGCTGTAGACTATTGTTGAAGGATTTCAAAAATGGGCATAAAAGGGCTCCATGAAGAGTCCTGGTCCTTAGACTTCATAGCGGATCAAGATATCATCCGACCTTTGTCTACTACGAATTCCTGCAGGGGAAATCTGCCAGACGGTTACCATCTGCGCTGTCTATAAGAGTTTTCTGTAAGAAGGTCGTTGTTCACTATTCGACAGCCCTTCGAATGCAGCCCAATGCGACCAGCCGCAAATCAACAAACCACAATAGTTAGACGACAGTTATTGAGCATCTCCACGTGCCGGCCACAGGTCAATATTCCCACGATGGGTTGCTCATGAGCTACGCTTGTCTGACGAGACAAACAGGATGCTCGTGGTTGAATCTCTTCTGTGTCGTCCCGATCGAACGGAATCATTGCGAAACATAGTGACCGGAGACGAGAGCTGGGTGCTTTATCTACGAAGCCTAAAGCAGACCTTCATGAGAAGTAGGTTTCATTTGTTGCCGGTGACAGCCCCAGTCTACTCTAACCCGCTGCAAAAGTGTCCGACGTGATGAAAGAGCTACTCCCGAAAAGACTCAATGTCCTCTCACTTCACCATAATGCACGCCCGCATGTGACCAACGAAACGCGTCAAGAAATTATTGAACTCGGATGGGAAGTACTGTCGCAGCCGGCTTACACACCGGACATGGCGCTTTCTGATTATCATCTATACAGAGCACTGAAGCACCATATAAGCGGCAAAAAATTTGATGATCGTCGCGAGCTCAAAAGTGAAATCGACCGCTTTTTTTCGTCGCAGCCACTAGAATTCTGGAAGAGAGGAACCGAAAGGCTGCCCGAAAGACTTACACGTGTCCTGCATAATAGTGATAGTTATGGTTTTGATTGAACGTTTTGTTTATAAAGAAATATAAAATTCAAGAACTTGCCCAAGATGTTGCAAGACATCTTCCAACCATATACGTCTGAAAGAGCAAACAGAGGCTCAACGGCTGCTGGGAAACCGAAATGAGTGGGAAGAAAGTTGTTCGCCATGCCCCAAAGCGATTTTGTGAAGGTAGAAGAAAATTAAAAATGTGTAAAGAGCTAAGTCTAGCCTGCGCTATCCCTTTTCTGTTCTGGAACTTGGCCGTGAAGCAACTTCACTTCACAACCGGAATTTCGAAACAAAGCACCATAATAAGTAATCGTTTGAAAAACATGGAACCATTAAGAGGATCAATGTTTATTTTGCATTGTGAAAGAAATCGACAAGTACCGACGAGACAAAGATAACTGTAATCTTAGTAAGTTAGCCACTTATTTTCAGGTTCTTTCGGTTTATACTTCTTCTTATCTTCACCAAAACAATCGGCGTTAACAGCAGCAAGCGTCTGCAATTAAGTCAGAATTAAATTTAAAAAAACAGGCGAAGGATGGGTTTTTTCTATCACCTGGTAATTGGGATCATTTGTGGCGACAACCTTGTGTTGAGCTGGCCTCTGGGCTTTAGGTCTGCCTACTGGTTCCTGAATGATCTCAGTCTATTCTTTGCAACCTCCAAAACAGTTATTGACTAACCTTCGGTTTGAACACGTCCTCGTTGTTCAGTCCTGCCAGTGTTTGGTAGTTCGGGTCAAAGGTAGCAACCTTCTTTCCTTTGTTTTCAGGGGCCCTTATTTTAACGTCTCCTCCGCCACGGCCACCCCCACCCATACCCCCACCCCCGCCTCCACCCTGCAAAACTGTTTATAATCAGGCAGAAGACGGGTGAGAATAGAAAATTGATACTTTGGGCTTGAAGACATCCTCATTATTCAAGCCGGCTAAAGTCTGATAGTTCGGATCGAAGGTTGCAACTTTCTTTCCTCTGGCATCAGTTGGCGCTCTGATGTTTAGGTTACCTCCTCCTCCGTCGCCGCCTCCTCCACCGCCACCCTAAAATTCATGCTTCATGAAAATGTTCCAGGTTAAAGCAAAGAACACTCCTACTACGCCTCCACACCAGGAATAAAGCCAGGGGTCACTCATAAGCGTGAAGGAGGTACAGAAGGTCCTGCATTCCCTTTTTGGAGACTATTACATAGGCACTAACACTACAAGATGGCAACCCGGAAGTTCGGAAGACTTGAGCAGCTCCGCGCCTGTTCATCATTCACGTGAAATTAACTCGCGAGATAAAAGTTTTGTTTAGAGCCAACCTGCTGCTAGCAGTTTTCTTTCGAACCCAACTCGCGGCGGGAATCTGTGTCTGCTCGCTAATACACACAGTCTGCCGAGCTGTGGACAGACCAAGTTGGGTGATTCTCGTAGACTGCATTATTTTCCACCTTTCTATCTGTCGCCACAATTTCGATGAATAATTCCAAGTAATAGCAATACCAATTGGCGACTTGTTAAGCGTGAACCCAGTCTAATGAGAACCTTAAGGCCTTGAAGACTAATTAGTCTCTAACAGACGTACCCAAGCAACGGCTTTTACTGACACCGTTTGGCTTCGTACTACCCAGTGCAGGCCAGATGCACACTCACTACGGACGTGAACACGTCTTTCCATATTATCCACAGATTGGTGAGCAACTCACTTTCGGCTTAAACACGTCGTCGTTATTGAGACCGGCTAGCGTTTGATAATTAGGGTCGAATGTTGCCACTTTCTTCCCTCTAGCATCCGTTGGTGCTCTGATGTTCAAGTTACCGCCTTGTCCACCGCCACCACCCTGAAATACCAACTTGCTTAAGTCTTGAAAAACTGTGAAGACCCAGTATCTGACCCTGCCATAATTTTTGATGAACAGCTAAATTGAATTGGAATGTACCTTTGGCTTGAAGACATCTTCATTATTCAACCCTGCTAAAGTCTGGTAGTTGGGATCGAATGTTGCCACTTTCTTGCCTCCTTCTGCTGGTGGTCTGATGTTTAACCTCCCACCAGCACCTGCACCACCACCAAAAGCATCACCTCCGCCCTAGAAATGCACAACAACTTCGATTTAAACTTATCTGCTAACTCACATCTCTCTATGATCGAATAAATACCTTTGGTTTGAAGACATCCTCGTTATTCAATCCAGCTAATGTTTGATAATTTGGATCGAAGGTTGCCACTTTCCTTCCCCCTTCTGCAGGTGGTCTTATATTCAGTTTGCCACCACCAAAATCTCCTGCACCACCTCCCTGAAGCGACCGCAACTCTTTTCTGCTGAGTTCTAACTTTCGTTGGATTACCGTATCAGTCAAACGAACGAAAAGGCACTCACAAACAAACAAACCACATCTAGCCGGTTAAAGATTAGAACGAACAAAACAGACTAGAGCGAACGACCAGTAAGGGCATGCAAGAAGAGAATAGAGTGAAGATCTCGACCAGAGGGAAATAAACGCTTCGGAAAAGCAGTGAAGATAGAAAATGAAGGTGTTGGCAGGAAAAGCCAAAGTGGGGTCTGGTTGTTTTTACCGGAACACGTGCGCTCGCCGCGTCCGATCGCACGCAATCGCATCCCGTGAAGGGGAGGATTTTAATTTGCTGTCAACAAAGGGTTTTTGGCGCAACGAAATCACTGCCGCTTGCCGTTGGACGCATGAATGGAAAAATTTCCCAACTCATTTGTAACCACAGAGTGAGCCAAGAAGCGGAGGTCAGATAGGCGCTTGTCGCGTAGTTGCGCCGCTCACCGCGCACGGTGAATTCGCGCTAAAAGTCTCATTCCGTGGTTCGTTATTGCACGAATAGGAGCCTAACTGTAGTGGCGCAAGTTAGCAAGAACTTAAAATATTCCAATTGTAGCAACGGAAGAGAAAGCAGGGAATAGCTTACAATTTTTATTGTGATATGACCCCAGTAAGCGAGAACTCGTGCTAAAAGCAAGCCTTTAACATTGTTTCTGTGATATTCCATTCTCAAGGTAGGCCGTCAATGTGATACGCTCGTTTCTAATGCAGTTAGGAGATTATCTTCAACCTTTCTTTGTCACTACTGGAGAATCCTTTAATTTGATGCTAAAGTACCAGAATTCACACCCCAGTAGGTGAGCTTGGGCAAAGATTTCTTTGAAAAAGCTGAAAGAGCTTTCTCCTCATGGCTGCGAGCGACACCCTAATTGAGAGGAGAATCTGACTGAAGAGAACACAAGTTTAATACTTAGATCCCTCTGAAACATCGCTTGCCTTCCCACCTTTGGTTGGAAAACTTCGTCATTATTAAGCCCTGCAAGTGTCTGATAATTCGGATCGAAAGTGGCCTTCATTCCTCCTTCTTTTGGTGCCCGAATTTCGGGAGCTGCAGGTAAATTTGGTGTTTGATTTGGAGCTACCTCCTGCTGAAAAAAAAGAGGTGAAATATCAGTGTTTTATATAAAAATCAATTTGTTTCCATAATGCGATAATCTCCTGCTCTCCATGTACCTGTCTACTTTGCTGTTCTCGCTGTTTCCTTCTGGCCCTGGCTCTTCGCTTTCTTTTACGCTTCTAAAACAATGTCCGCTAGAAATTCTTCAATCTCTTACCATTAAACTGTACATAATACAGCCTTTTTTGACTTCAAAGCGATATGCCGTTGTATGAAGACAGAGGATGTCACAATTCAGAGAACGTCTATTTGTTTACAAAGTAACGATTTTGAAGAATTTCGGTAGATAGGTAATGACGATAACGAAAAAGGCCGCAGAAACTTTTAAAGCCTTCTTTGAACTAATCCATTTTTGAGTCTAAACAAAGTACGAAAGAGGTGTTCAGACGAGATTCCTTCCAGTTGCTGGAGATCAACATGTGTTAGCTTCCAGCAAGCACCACGTGATTACCTTTGCAACAAACATGCTCTATTTTTAATGGTGCGACAAGTGATGAACTCTTGCAAAGCAGTAAAGCACGTCCTTTTGTATGAAGACCGTGCTGTGAAACATCGGTAGCGCAGACAAGACCAGACCGTCGTTTTTCTTTTTTACGATTCCTTTGCCCTGAGCACACCCAACAGAAACCTATCTGGCGGATAGCTTCCAGCTCCCAGCAGTATTACAACCCAAGCGCACTAACATTTCAAGAATGCTCCTTAATAGATGCCCTCGATCCAACCTATTCAGATGCTTCATGGCTATTCACCTCTAGCTTTTGGAGCTCTGTGCATCAATGGTAAAGTATAAGGGAAAGAACAAATGAATCACAACAAATACCCACTGTGCTGTGCTTCGAGCCTGATGAACCCTGGAATGTTTCGTGTCAGACTCGGATTTTTCATCAAAAGCATGATTCTCCGATAACTCCTTCAAATGTTAGAATGAGGTGAAAGTTTTGAATACTATTTTAACATATGTCGCCGTTTATTCACAAGAATCCTCCCCGCCCTCATCCCGCAACCACATTGTAGAACTCTTTCGGAGTTATGGCGTGTAATATTCAAGTAGTTCCCTGTGCGTTTTCTAAAAAAATGTCAGATTTGTCGAGATACATGTATCTACATCAGCCACTCACTCCCCACCCCAAATCGGAATGTGTTTCCGCGGTAGGATAAAATTTTCATACATGCATCATAAAATTTTTATACATTTTTCTGTATAATTGCAAGTTATACGCACACTGGATAAGTGTGCAGGATTATGTGTAATGTTCACATGTGTCTATGTTTGTTGGATACATATGTTTTTTGACTCGTCAAATCGAACCCCTTTGCTGGTAACAAATTGTTTTCTTCAAAGGTAAAAGAAGTTAGTTGTATTAGAGGTGGAGGTAGTGTAGTGGTATAATAACGGCATATCACAAACGCATGGTGCTAACCAGACCATTACTCGGGTATACCAACCCAGCCTTCCATGACGAATGCTATACGGTGAACGGACTCAAGGAGCATCTTCCTCCGCCTGCGTGCGGCTGCATAGTGGCTCTACTTATGTGCCTTTTACTTCTCTAGCATTGGAGCGCAGCATGATTTGTGCGCCATTTTCAAGAATGCGCCACGTGACCCCTTAGCTACCCCACCACCTTGTGCATTCAAATAAGGTTATCCCGTGAAAGGAAATATATTGTCGGGGGACGA